AGAATTTTGAGGTACATAAGAGGTACTCTAAACTATGGTCTGTTTTATAATTTTGGTGAAGATACAAAATTATTTGGTTATTCAGATAGTGATTGGGGAGGTGACCAAGATGAAAGGAAAAGCACAATTGGCTATGTGTTTTTTCTAGGATCAACAGCTTTCTCATGGACTTCAAAGAAGCAATCAATTGTTGCTTTGTCATCGTGTGAAGCTGAGTACGTTGCTGTAGCCTCAACCGTGTGTGAGGCAATTTGGTTAAGAAATCTGTTGAAGTCAGTGTGTTATCTACAAGTGGAATCGACTGTGATTCATGTGGATAACATCTCAGCTATCAAGCTTGCTAGGAATCCAGTCCAACATGGAAGGAGTAAGCACATCGATACCAGGTTCCATTTTTTGAGGGACCATGTGAAGCAAAAGACAATTGAGCTTGTCTATTGTTACACAAAGGAACAAGTGGCAGACATCTTCACTAAGCCATTACCAGTTGAATCATTCCGGCTGTTACGTGAAATGCTAGGCATGAAGGCGTTTTAATTTGAGGGGGCATGTTGGAAATACAAATTAAAAGTCATGTGATCTGTCCATGTGATGCTAGCCTTTATTTACAGCTTGTTTCCAGCAAAATATAATCATCATTGCTCCTTCATTATTCAGCCGAATGGTGATGAAAGACAGCAAGTGTGCTGCCATGTGATGTGCTAGCAGGAAGACAGCAGTGTGCTGCCATGTGCTAGTTGAATATGTGTTATTTGCAACTGGAAAGACAGCTGTTGTGTGCAAGCCGAAAGGTGGTTATTACAACCTGCCATGATGCAATGCATGTGTATGCCAACTATCAAAGTTGTTGCATGTGTTTGAAAGGGTGTAAAGATGTGGAACACCATCATTCATTATATGTATTGTTGGATTGTTTATTTTTTCAGTTTTGTATAAATAGGCCATCTTGCTAAGCCTTAGAGCATCCCATCCAAATCCCATTTCCCATTCATTTAATTTCAGCTTGTAAGCTTTAAGAGTTGTAAACTCTTCTAATATTTCAAAGTGTTTGTTATCACCAAGCTTGCTACTTCTTTCCTTTCTTTGTCCAATTTTATTGAGAGTGAAAGTGAGAGGTGTGATAGAGTTTGTAAACTTATCACCCACATATTTTGGTATTGAGTTAGCAAACTCTTGTGAATACCAACAAAGCTGGCCAGGTGGTTTGGATATTGAAAAACTATGGTGATTCATCAGGCCAGGTTATTAATTTGGAGATAAGCTCAATATTTTTGGGGAAGGGATGTCCTAAAAAAAAAAAAAAAAAAACGAATTGCTACGGTGATGAATATTCAAGCAAAGGATGTATTTCGTAAATATTTGGGGATTCGGGCAGATTTTGGGCATTCTAAGAAGGCGGTTTTCGAGATGGTTAGTTGTGGTAATGAGAGTCGTATTGATGGGTGGGCAGAACAATTATTCACACTTGTAGGAAAGGAAGTGTTAATTAAATCGGTTGCAATGGCTATGCCGAATCATGCTATGGCTTGCTTTAACATCCCGGTTGGTACGTGCAAATAAATGGAAAGGGCTATTTCTCAATTTTGATGGAGAAAGCAGTCGATGAAGAATGGGTGTCACTGAGTGGCGTGGGACAACCTGACGATGAGTAAAGGGAGCGGGGGCTCGGGTTTTAGAGATTTGATTTGCTTTAACTTGGCAATGCTTACAAAGATTAGTTGGAGGGTATTGAATGATCCTAGTTTGGTGCTTGCAAAGATTAGTTGGAGGGTATTGGTGCTTGCGAAGATGCTCAGAGATAAATTTTTCGTACAACCTCATTTTTGCAGGCTAATGGAAAAAACTAATCTTCTTGGGTTTGGAAAGATTTTTACTTGGTGGCTACTCTTGGTGAGAGGCTTTCGGTGGAGAGTTGGGAATGGATCGGTGATTAATGCAGCAAAAGACCCTTGGATCCCAAAACCTCATTCCTTTAAACCTATGATGCTACATAGGGGGATGGCACCGAAGGTGGATATGCTTATTGACCATCTTAGTAAAGAATGGAAGGCACAGCTTGTGTCCGAGTTGTTTGAGGTTGAGTTCGCGAAGCTTATTAAGGCTATCCCCAGTAGTAGAAGTGGGTGTGACAATCACCAAATATGGCACTATACTAATAATGGGGTGTATAAAGTAAGATCAGGATATTTTGGAGCACTGGAGATGTAAGAATGAAGCTGTGTTTAACGATAATCGAATTTTGCCTCACATCACTGTTGATTTATGGCAGCGCCAGGTTACAGATTTTAATGCGGCTACGATTGAAGATGATGGAGCGGGAGATCGAAGGAGAAGGCAGGAGGATGCAAGGAACAAATTTCAGACTGAGGGTGTTGTGAATGGATGGCGAAAATCGGACTTTAGAAGCTTAAAATTGAATTGTGATGCGGCTTGGAGGAAAAAATCAAGGATATGTGGTGTGGGGTGGGTACTACAGGACTTTCCTGGGATTCCAAAGATGGCGGGTGGGAAGGGTGGGGATAGGTATTTATCGCTTATTATGGCTGAGGCGGCGGCAATTCATAAGGGGCTTGAGATGTCCGTTCAAAGTGGTCTTCCGGAGTCATGGGTGGTGCTAGAGGTGGAAACCGATTCGAATGGGCTGATTCAAATGCCCAATAAGGAGATTCAAGTGGCTGTATCAATGGAGGTTTATTTGGTTAATATTTGGTCTATGATGCTTTCTTACCTGTCAATGAATTTTATCATGACTCTTCGTCAATGTAATAATGCAACCCATATGGTGGCGGCGTACGTTCATAAGCATGATGGGCGTTTTGGCTGGGATGAGTTAGGACCAGAATTTCTGTTTAATATCTTAGCAGAAGGTGCAAATGTATATATTCATATTTGATTGATCAATATAATTATATATTTTGACCAAAAAAAAAAAATGCACCTTTTATGACTACTATGGTGGCTAGTCACCCTAATTCTACTTAGAAAAGGCCTAGACAATCTGGTTTTATCTCTGGTGGCTTTAAGCAATTCAATAACAATAAGAATATGGGCAAGGGCAGGTTCAATGAAAATGCTCGAAAGTTTCAACCAAGATCATATTATCCCAATTAGACACATGTTTTGCAAACACCATCTCCTGGTGTACTTGGTCATTTTCCAAATCAATATTCCTTCAACCTTTCTGCTTCACCAATGATCACTTGTCAACTGTGCAATGTTGATGGTCACTCTGTAGTTTTCTGTGGATCTAAACCACCACACAAACCCAAGTGTCAAATCTATGGCAAATTTAATCACAACACTTGGTTTTGTTTCTACAATGAGAAAGGTCCCGACTTCATTGGTTCTGGTTCTAATTCCCAGTACTCTTAGATGCATTCTTACTCATCACAAAGATTCTCTCCTTAGTCTTAGTTCTTAGGCAATCAATTTCAAGCTTCACCTCACCCTATGCAAGCTATGCATACAATGGTCTTTCAGCCTTTATCACAGACATTATCTTAGTTCACTCCACATATTTGGTTGACTAACTCAGGTGCAACCAATCATATGATTGCAGATCTTAACAATCTCTCTTTGGCATCACCATATCCTTTTAATGAAACAATTCATACTGCAAATGGTGAAGGTTTGCCTGTTTCTCATATTGGTAGGACTATTCTAAAACCTTATGTGCATCCAATTAAATTGAATTATGTGTTGTATGTTCCAAAACTTACACAGAATCTTCTCTTTGTACATAGAATCTGCTTGGATAATAATTGTTGACTCATTTTTTATGCCTTATGTTTTTAGATTTAAGACAATACCACAGGGATGATACCATACAAAGGTTTGTGTAGTAATGGACTCTACCCAATTCACTCCCTAACTCTTCCTTGTTGTGCAACACAAAGCTTTTGGCCAGCTTGTCAACTCAAACCACATAGCACAATAGGTTAGGGCATCCATCCAATTCAATTGTATCCCTTGTGTTACTAAAATTACACCTAGCATGTACTAAGGAGTTTAATCCTAGTATGTATCAAAGTTGCTTAGAAGGGAAATTCTGTAATTTACCTTTCCATCCTACTGTCAATAAATCTATAGTACCATTTGAAATAGTACATAGTGACCTTTGGGGTCTTGCACCATGCATTTCAGTAGATGAGTTTAGATACTATGCCACTTTCATTAATAAATGTACCAGATAGTGCTGGATACTATGCCACTTTCATTAATAAATCAGACCTTTCTGCCACATTCATTTCCTTTGATTCATATGTACTCACTTAGTTTAATGCAAAAGTTAAAATCTTCAAGTGATGGAGGGGGTGAGTACATTTCCACTAAACTTGAGTCTTTTCTGTTAGATAAAGGTATTTCCCATAAAAAATCATGTCCCTATACACTTGAACAAAATCGGTTGGCTGAGAGAAAATATAGGCATGTGATTGAAACTACAATCACTTTGTTACAAACGGCAAAATTACCTTCCCAATTATGGTCATTTGCTTGTCAAACTGCCATAGACCTTATCAACAGAATGCCTAATCCCGATTATCAAACAAATTTCTATTTGAATTATTATTTGATTGTGTTCTAGTTATATCTCATCTGAGAACATTTCGGTGTGCATGTTATCCACTTCTAAAAACCTACAATACCTCCAAGTTTCAAACCAAAACCACAAAATGTGCTTTTCTAGGGTGTGCATCCAACTATAAAGGGTTTATGTGTTTTAAAGTATCTAGGCAAATAATATATGTGTCTAGACATGTGGTATTTTCTAAGAGGGAATTTCCTTACACAGACTTATTGGCAACAAGCAACTAAGTCACAGGTCATCCGTGTTCCAAATATTACACAACATGTGAGTCATATTCCAATTGTTACTCATGATAATGTGATAGTGTCACCTGCTTCATCAACATGTTAAATTTGGATATTAGGCATCAAAATTTGGATATTTGTAGACTAGGAATAATAAGAACTTACTTGACTTGTATTTCGCTATATTTGGTTATGGGTTGTAAAGCAATATCAAGTATACAGATAAATGGAAGGGTGAGAGAAAGATAGAAAAAGAATATTAATGATATATAATTCCAATATGTAAGGTCTATGAGTCATCTCATATAAAGGGAATGTAATAAAGCATCAATACTGATTGATCCATAATTAGACAAATCCGTGCATAGAACAAAAAATCAAGAGCCCCGAGCCAATAAAGACTGAGAAGGTTGACTCAAGAATCAATTTAATTGGAGGCTCCGTTGTAAAATTCAGACCTAATCATTAATCGAGAAGTGGTGGGAACGACAGAACCTGTGAATGCATAAGATTCTATTGAAAACGAATCCTAATGATTCATTGAGTAGGATGGCGGAACGAACCGGAAACCTATTCATTTATTCTGAGAGGTCATGTCATAGACTATGCATTTATTCATTTATATCATGATAATGTGATAGTGTCACCTGCTTCATCTACCCGAATCGAGGTAGCAACTAAACATGGCAGAAAGAAACCGATACACGATTCAATCCCCTCTCTTGTTTATTATGTGCCTTCTCGTTCCTTGTTTAGCTGAATTTCCTGAGGATCAAATCACTTTTTGTTTGACGCTTCATGACATCAACAACTTTACCACATTCCCTAACACGGAAAATGAGTCTGCAGCTTACTACAAGCTGCTCAACTTTTCCATCCAAAATCTTCGTTTCGCTGATCCTGCCCTTCCTAAGCCAGTAGCCATCATACTTCCCGAGAGCGTTGAGCAGCTAATAAACTCTGTGTCATGCTCCAGACAAGGGTTGTTGGAAATCAGAGTAAGGAGCGGCGGACACAGCTACGAAGGGACATCATCCGTTGCTGTAGACGGAGCTCTGTTTGTGATCATCGACATGATGAACTTGAACGGTGTGTCGGTGGATTTGGAAACCGAAACTGCATGGGTGGAAGGAGGTGCAACGCTGGGTGAGACATACCATGCGATTGCCCAAGCAAGCAATCTTCATGGGTTCTCCGCCGGGTCATGCCCAACTGTAGGCGCTGGAGGCCATATTGCTGGCGGTGGATTCGGACTCATGTCGAGGAAATACGGACTTGCAGCCGATAACGTGGTGGATGCACTACTTGTTGATGCAAATGGACAACTGTTAGACCGACAAGGCATGGGAGAGGACGTGTTTTGGGCAATTAGAGGAGGTGGTGGGGGTGTTTTCGGGATTGTCTATGCTTGGAAAATCCAGTTGTTGAATGTGCCACAAGTTGTAACTGCTTTCGTAGTGTCTAGAGCTGCTTCTGCTGCTGCAGGAGGAGGAGGCAACGAAATCTTTAATCATAATGTAGCAAAGCTGGTAGACAAGTGGCAACACATCGCACCTTACTTGGAAGATGATTTCTACATTTCGTGCTTTGTCGGCGCTGGGTTGCCAGAGGTCAAGACTACTACCGTTACTGCTACTAGTAGTACTAATATATCAGCTACGTTCAAAGGGTTTTATCTGGGTCCAAGAAGCAGCGCCGTGTCCATCCTAAACAAAGTTTTTCCTGACTTGGGTGTTGCAGAAGAAGATTGCGCAGAAATGAGTTGGATCGAGTCCATCGTGTTCTTCTCCGGCCTAAGTAAGGGAAGCTCAGTGTCCGACTTGAGAAATCGATATCTGCAAGGCAAGGGATTTTTCAAAGCGAAATCGGATTACGTTAGGACCCCAATTTCTTACAGAGGGATAAGGGCAGCCCTGGAAATACTTGAGGAGGAGCCGAAAGGGTACGTGATTTTAGACCCTTATGGTGGGGTTATGCATGATATAAGCAGCGAAGCCATTGCCTTTCCTCACAGAAAAGGTAACCTCTTTACAATTCAGTACCTGGTGGAATGGAAAGAAGAAGATAATCACAAAATAAATGACTACATAGAATGGATAAGAAGATTCCACAATGCAATGACGGAGTATGTTTCATGGGGTCCTAGGGCTGCTTATATCAACTATGTTGACCTCGACCTCGGACTGATGATGCGGCAGCAGTTTCCTTTAAATAATAATTTGGTTAAGGATGATGAATCTGACGCTGTGGAAATTGCCAGGAATTGGGGTGAAAAGTACTTCCTAAATAACTACGACAGATTGGTGAGAGCAAAAACACTTATTGATCCAACCAACGTTTTCAGGAATCAACAAGGGATTCCTCCGATGTCGTCGTCTTTGTCTTTGGTGGTGCTCGATCATTAGGCGCACGTACGCACGCAACGCAGCTGAGTGGTACGTACGTTGTGCGTGGTATATACGTGATGTCTGCGTAGTGCAATTTGTATGCATATGCTGATATGCTAATACTACTATATATATAGCGTATTAGCTAGCATGGCAGCTGCAGTAGATGAATCAATATACAGTATATATCCATCATTCAATAACAAGCAAACTCTTTTTTTTTTTATTGGGAAACTATAACAGGCATGCTTTTGTGATTGTTTGTACTAAAATTTGAGACAGGATACTCGTAGGATCCTCTTTTTGAGGATTCTGGGGATCCTTCAATCATATCCGTTTATCATATGTCGTGCTGCCAATTTTTGTTAAGTACTATTTATATTGAATTTTAAATAAAAAAAATTTACAATGATTTCTGACTATACGAAATACGATAAAATGATGCAATTGGAGGATTCTCACGGCTAAAATTTGACACAAATTCACTTATTTGGGTCAAAGTTAAATTTTGGCATTTTGTTGTTGGGGGGGGGGTGTTTGTGCAATTAGGCTAACTTGCAAGATATTTAGCTACATCAATTAGAAGGTTTGGGTTCACAAAAAAAAAAAAAAAATTAAAAGTTGGAAGGTTTGGCATCAAAATAATTTGTTTCCTTTTTGTTTCGGTAGTGGAGTTGTGCCAAGTCCTTTGTTTAATCAAGACAATTGCATGCTTTCTCATTGCAAGTGGATTTGGGCGGTGGAATTCGTGTCCATAATGTGAAGTCAGCAAAGCAACTACTCTCAATTCTCTATATAAAGAAGCAGAGGCAGAAGGATTAAGGAGACTCAATCAATCACTCAAACAATTCAACTTAATTCAATACCTTGTTGTGCTATTTTTCCGAGTAGTGTGTCAATTTCCTTGTACTCTCATTTACATTTCTGTTGCCATTATAATTACTTATTTCACTTACAGTATTTATATTTCCAGTCTAGTCGCACTTACTTTCTTTACTTTCCTCTATCATATACACTTCTAGCAAACTTGCCATTACATATTGTTATATTTCTCCACATAAGTAAAGTCCTTATCATTAAGGAAAAGAAAGAACCTTAATTTGAGCCACTCCCATTCAATCGATCTTTCAAATCCCATGTACTAGTGGTAATTAGTAGTGGCACGCTTGTAATCACCAATTTCTTGTACAAGTAAATTCCTTGTCCACCCTCGAGGCCCATGATGAATTTAAGGGGTGAACAAATTGGCACGCTCGGTGGGACATTTATGTGGAGTTAGATCATTAATAATTCCTATTTTCATGGCTTCCCTCAACATGCTTTTGACAACTACGTTCTGGAGTATGAAGAGGATGATGATGGTGAAGATATGGCCACTGGCGAAGCTACAGAGGAGCAAGGAGGTGCGGGCACCCCTCTGGTAATCGGAAATTGCCACTAAGAGTGAGAATTTCGCCCCTCCGATCTTCTAAACATGTTGATCTGGGTGCGTTTCGTTGCTGGGTTTTGGTTTCAAGGAGAAATTTTTAATTGTGACGGGAACATAAGTGGTACACCACATGTTTTAATAGGAGTGTTGGGAAATTTTATTTTTAAAGTTATCAACTTTTTAGCATACATATCCTACCATTTGTATAAGGACACGGAGTGTACCACCCCGTGTACCGGTCACACTAAAAAATCTCTCGGTTTCAAGGGAAGACAACGACCTGGTTTTTTTTTAGACGTCGTTGTTTACCTTTTATAAAACTTAGTGTTCCTTTTAATGAAGCGGTGCAGTTCAGTGGGCTCTTTTAGTTTCTTTTTAATTTTTAATTTCATTGATGTGATTTTCTTTCACAACTGCACTACCAGCTCACCATTTTAATTCTCTTCCCTCTTTCTCATTTGTTTAGACTATTCAAAAACAAAGGTTGGCGTTTGTAATTGTTCTTTTTTAATTCTTGTTATTATTTCTGGTATTTAAAATTAGTTCATCTTATTTTCTTTTAATTCTTGAGAAATGATGACTTTGAGGGTTTGTTTCAAATATAAAAAAGTTTTGTGAGGAAAATGTCATTAGTGTTCTTATTATGTGAGAGTGTTTTTGATATTACTGAGATAGATGTTTACATTGCGAGAGATGTACAACAGTTGTGTTGTGTGATAACTTGATTGTTTATATTGAGATGGATGTTTTTGTTTTTATTGACAATGAGTCTGTTATGCGACGTTTCATGACATGAAATCTTGCCGACAATAATTACAATTTATTTGTATTGACAAACTGTGAACGACATTAAATATTGTGCACTATCTAAAATGATTTGATTATCTACATTTTTGTGGAACCTATTACACTTTTAAATTTCGCCCCTCCTCTCGAAAATTCCAATATGGCTATAACGAAAATCACATGGAGCCATCCTATGAAATGCCAACTTATGGTACACGGATGGAGGGCTTCCAGGTCACCTAGAAAATGATGGTTGGCCAACTTATGGCTAGATAATAATAATCTTGGGGATTGGCCTACTTATGGCTACGGTGAAAGTTATT